AGAGCTCAAAAGAATATATTTTCTTCAAAGAAAACTATCTCTGCAGGTTCTAAATCCTTTGTATGATTTAAATAAGAGAATGGAAATGAATGCATACGTGTGAAATCTGGGAAAGCTGTAAAATTCACTGTTTATGTTGAATGAATTATCACTAATATTCAAATGAGCAATTACTAACAAATTGATTTGTCCCTTTGGGCTACATGTTGTCACATTGCCACAAGAAAGAGGATTTCTTTATGTCTTTGTGTCAAAAGAGACCATGTCATAAATATGTTCTGTAACATTTTATAATATAGAACCAATGAGAAAAAAGACAAAGAGAGAGGGGTGTGTATGTAGGTGTCAGCATGGGTCCAGGTAAAAAGAAAGTAGCAGAGATACAAGTAGGCAGGATGAATTTTTAATCAGCTGTTACAGCTTCTCTTAAACTGAGGAACTAAATTTTGTAATTCTATATAAAACTAGAGGCCCAGTGCACAAATTTGTGCACGAGTGGGGTCCGGCTGGCCCGCCCCCTGGTCAAACTCCTGATTGAGGGTACAATTTGCATATTAGCCTTTTATTATATAGGATGTTTTATAATAGAGATAAATAAAATTTCAGTTTATTTGGTAATCTAGCTAAAACCATAGCCTAGAACAGTGATGGTGTACCTATGACACACGTTCAGAGGTGACACACGAACTCATTTTTTTGGTTGATTTTTCTTTGTTAAATGGCATTTAAATATATAAAATAAATATCAAAAATATAAATCTTTGTTTTACTATGGTTGCAAATATCAAAAAATTTCTATATGTGACACAGCACCAGGTGCTAGGTCTATGTAACTCTACATAGTTTTTATTTAGTTAATTTGAAAAGCATTCATTGAGCACCTAACCTGGCCCCAGCACTCCACTGCATGCTGGGACTACAAAAACGAATAAGGGTGTTTAATGAGAAAAGGAAGTAAGTCAATAAATTAATTAAATTAAAACAAGTTCAATGTGCAAATAAGATGTTGTCAGAGTCCAGGGGTAATTTTCTGTTTTGCCATCAGCAGTAGTCTGTGTTTCTTTGTAAGTATCAACACACCTGGTAACGGAGGCACTTAGTGCATAGTAGTCACTCTGGGCCTATGTGCAGGCAGCTTTATTTATGAAAATAGAAGTAAGAGTGAGATGAGAGATGCCTTTTTACCCTGAGTAGCCAACACACTGTACTGAACACATTTCTCTGTGATGACCAAAATATAGCCCCAAATAAGAGGCTACCTGATCTGGTCAGAGCCCCTGCCCTGTGCTTCTTCATCTGCCAACCTCTAACCTCTACTTTGGGGAAACCTCCGTGGGCCTCCCCACACACTCTAACCCACACACACACACACATTATTCTTATCACAGTATGTTTCTTCTCTAAGATATGACTCTCTTAGTGACAAAAACTACTGATATTTACATCCACAGGCTCTTCCAAAGGACTTTGCATAGACTAGGTGACAGTGGCAGCATCTCCAAGGGGTGGCATATAGTGAGGAGGAGGAGGAGGAATACAATTTAATTATAGGTGACAGTGGCAGCATCTCCAAGGGGTGGCATATAGTGAGGAGGAGGAGGAGGAATACAATTTAATTATAATCCACAGGCTCTTCCAAAGGACTTTGCATAGACTACGTGACAGTGGCAGCATCTCCCAGGGGTGGCATATAGTGAGGAGGAGGAGGAGGAGGAATACAATTTAATTATAACCTCCTCCCTCGTAATTCCTATTAACCATTCCCTCTTCACCCCGAATTAACATGCAGTACTTAATCCCAATATGCTTGCTAGGGCCATGTGGAATCAGGACAAGGCCCCAGCACCAGCTTCCTACCAGATGCTTAAAGAGCCACTCCTACCTAAAACTCAAACTCAATAAATCTTAAAGGCAACATGGGGAACTGGAAAGAATTTGAATGGCAATGTTTTTTTAAAATCAGTTTTATTGAACTATAATTTACATACAGAAAAAAATTCTTTTTTTGTATGAAGTTTGATGAGTCTGACAAATGGATAGTTATATAACCTCCACCATAGTTGTTATGGAGAACATTTCTATTATCCTCAAAAATTCTCTCTTTAGCAACCAGAATTTTAAGTGAATTCTTTAGAAAAACCACAAAACCTATCAATGTTGCAGATTAACAGACCCTTGCGTCTTGGACAACTTAACATATTTCTCCAAAATGAATAGTTTCTTTTCCCTTGATCATAATGCCATCATTTGGTTGTATTGTACTTTTCTTTTGGAAATCTCAAAGCATTTAGCAAATAAGAATTCACAGCTCTTTAAAGAAATAAAAGGAACAACAAAAATACCTGGTCCAACTATAAATATTTATATTCCAGTTTAATAAAATCAATACATCTTTTTCCCAGTTAACCTGTAGGTTTCTCTTCTTACCAGAGACTGTTGTATAAATATTTTAACAATGTTAGGTAGCTTGTTTTTAATGAGCTGGCTGTTGTTTTTATCAAGTAGGCATTGTGCTTGCCCTTTATTTATCCATTATATTCCCTTGTGGTGACTGCGAAAAGGCTGTACATCCTGGGAACAGTTGCTACATTTGGATTGGATTGGATGGGCAAATGGAATGACACAGCAAACAAGTGAATGACTAAATGAATGAGGGAGTCAATGAAGGAATGAATGAGTGGTTGCCTCCATTTTATGGATGAGGCACTTCTGAGAGGCAGTGAGGTCAGGTGGCTGGCAGAAAGCCACACACTGCTGTCCTGGGGGCAGTGCCCGATCGGATGCCAAGTGTGTTTTCTTTGCTCTCTCCATTTAGCTACCAGCGCTGATTTTTAAATGTCCCCATAAAATGTCAACATTAAAAAGGAAACATGGAAAAATAAGATGGGCACAAATGAAGTGGCTTTTCAAAAAAAAAATGAATTTAGTGTGCAAATATAACACAGGTAAGGATTTTAGGGGCCGATTTCCACGTGATGAGAAGAACACTTTCCTCTCTTATTCACCAGTCCTTCTTTAAATGGACTTTGGCTCTTTGTGCTTCTTCATAAGACAGTTTTGTATGTGCCTACCGTGTTCTTTTTTTAACAGGCTTCTTCTGTGGAAAAGACACAATTGCCTTTACTGTTGCTACTGTTGTGACAAGTAGGGAGAGGATGCTCAAAGAGGCTCCACATAGAGAGAGAGCGTCCATTGTCATGCCTATGCTTGCACTTTCATTTTTCTCCATTTACGGACAGGTCAGGAATGAATTTGATGAAATTTCCATCAAGAGGCTTTTCTCCAGGAATCGGTATCAAAAGAATTTGAATGAGCAGGAAAGAAAAACGATCTGCATTTTATATGAAATTCTGATGTCAATGGTTCCTTACAACAACAAGGAAAAAAAAAAGCTATTAAAGTAGCCCCCCTGCCCGCCCGCGGGGAGTCAAGTGCTTTTCAGCCAGCACGTCCTGAGCTGATGCCCTCTCTCCATCCGCTGCTCAGATATTCATGAATCACTGTCTTCCAGCATCGCTTTCTCTCTCCCTGTGCCTTTCTGGCGCGGTCCTCCCTCCCTCCCTCTGGCATCTGCTTTTTCTTACTCCTTCTCTCAGCTGCTTAACTACAGCTCCCAGTGGAACTTGCACAATTAAAACAGCTCTCCTCTCGAGCAGCACCCAGAAGCGCATCACCTGGAGCAGGGCGATCGCCCACTTGCACCGCCGCAGAGCATCCAGGTAGCTGGGGGCGCGGCAGGGGTGTGTGGGGGGGTCCTTCTCCCGCTCTCTGCAGCAGCCACAGCATCTCCTGGGAGTCCGCTGCGTTCCAGGGTCCCGTAGCAATGATGCGTGTGTTTCGTAACAATGATGGGAAGAGAGAAGCCACTGCCGGTGGCCATTGAAAGCGGGGAGAGGTTGCTGCAGTCTCCACTGGCGTAGAATGTGTGAGTGACAACCTGCGGGGCCCCGCTGGAGTCTCCATCCCGCTCCGTCTTCCGTCTTCCTTCGCGGTCTCCAGGAGGGAACTCGGGAACCAGATGCACTAACCGGGCGAGTGCCACCCTGGATCTGTAACTGTGAACTTCCCGCTGTGGAAAATGGTCAACAAAGACATGAATGGATTCCCAGTCAAGAAATGCTCAGCCTTCCAGTTTTTTAAGAAGCGGGTAAGGGCAGGTCTTGTTTGTTTCTTTTGTGTTCTGCTCCTCTCTTCAATGCCCTTGGTTGCTGGCCTGTGGGAAGCCTAAGGTTTTGTTGCCCAGCCCAGAAGGAAAGCCCTGCTTCTGGTGGCAGGGGTCCAGCAGGGACTTACACCTGCCTTGATGCAAATTTGGGGGAGTCCGGTGGGTTGCCCAGGAAGAGCTGCTTTGGGGAGAAGGGGTTGGACTGGGATGCCTTAAGGAGGATTTGAGTTGGGAATGGCAATTTCTCAATCAAAGCCCAAAGACTACACAGAGCTTCAAAGTGACTTGGCCTGGATACAGTTGTGGCTAGTAATTTAGTCAGGGACTAATTCTGCAGCTCGCTCTCTCTTATCTCTGAAGGGTTCAACTTTTTCCACCCCTTTCATTCACAGTCTCAAGTGCTGCATTATCTTCATTGTCAGAAGCAGCAGCTTCTGGCTTCCCAAATCCATTCAGCCAGGAACTTACTGAGTGTATCCACGGTAAAAATAACAGAGGACTGGAATGACCTTTTCCAGAAAGGATGGGAGCCAGCATTTTAAAACCTCTATCTCAAGTTGCCTTACTGTTGTTTAGTATGACTGCCTATCTCTTAGAGAGAGCAGTGGGCGGTCTGAATTCAGTGGTAATATCAGGTCATGCTGCTGTATACATTTATGTCTTAAATTCCTTGTTTGTCCAGTCATAGCATTAATGTTGCATTGGTTATGAAGGAGGAAAAAGAGATTGTTCATGATAAACTCAGCTCATTGTCTTGGTCCCACTGGTGCTCTGCATACATCTACAAATGTATACACTAGTGGGAGGTACGAAATGAATAACTGTTAATGGGCTGATGAATGACACTCTTATGGAGAGTTTCTTAAGCAACAGAAGCTTCCTTCAGCCCCCAGCTGCCCGGCCTATTTAATACCCAGGGCAACTCCATCCAAATGGCTCTCTCCATTCATTGGTACTTCATTCAGGTTCTTTCTATGCTGCTCCTGACACAGTCCTTCACTTAACCCACCAGCAGGACCCAGTGAGTTACGGACTGGGCTGGACTCCCCCCCTGCACTAAGTGGACCCAGGCTGGCAACAGCAGGTCAGGCCCAGCCAGAGGGCCAGCACAGGCTGCCACATACCTTTGGCTGAGCTCTGCTAGGTAAATCAAAATCTTCCTCCAGGTCCCTGGCCAAAACCAAACCTCTATCTCAAGTTGCCTTACTGTTGTTTGGTATGTTAAAACCAAAGGAAACACCACCCTGTCCTGGCTGCTGCTCATGGACAGGAGTCGGAGTACCAGGCGAGGTCGGTCTCTGGTGCCGACAGCAAGCCGGATCAGAGCGAGGCCATGCAACTTCTCAGAGCTCCGGTGTTTCTTAGTTTTCCTTGTAGCCCAAATAGTTCTTTCCAAGGAAAGGGCCCTTTGTGAAGAGTAAGTTCCAACGGCAAACAAATGTTTTGCGGATAAAAGCTGTCATAGCCCATACTTCGGTATTTAAACTCTTTACTCTTTTAATTAGTGAATTTATTTGGTGGTATTATCACAAAGGGATATGTGATAGTTTAAAACTCCTCAGTAGAGATCTTTAATTGACCAAGTGTTTGTCAAGTAGATTGTTTCAAAATTTTATTTATTGATTTATTGATTTATCAGTTGCTTCTTCTCTGTGCCCTGATTGGGGATTGAACCCACAACCTTGGCATATCAGGACAATGCTCTGACCAATTGAGCTACCTGGCCAGGGCTGTCAAGTAGATTTTTAAAAGTTGTTTCTTTTTTTCCTATTGAAATGTTCTAATTAATATACCAATTTACCATTGTCCCTCTCCCTTAAAAGCATAATTTTACCAATAGCCTTCAGTTGGTGCCTCTGTAGACCTTGAATTTTGCAAAGAACTAGCCTGGGTACTGAGGTCTTATCTGAGTACATGAGAAAGAAGTTTGCAGCAAGATCTGACAGGCAACTTCATTTGCCTTGAACCTGTATCTGTCCTTTGCTAGAGATGGATCAGGAATCCCTCCTCCTGCTTTTCTTACTCCTCAAGGATGGCAAACTACGCAAAATATGACTTTGTGTCCAGTAATGACAACCCCAGGGATAAATTCCTCGATTTTTGTCTACTGGTTCAGTTTGAAACATTACTTTGTTTTGGGTTTTGCTTTTTTGTTTGTTTGCTTTGGCTTTTAGTTACACAAATAATATGTAAATAGCTGTTAAGACAATACCAATCTTCCTCCTGATCTTCCTTCCTTCCCCAGAGGTAACTGCTGTTACCATGTTGGTGCCCTTGCTTTCCAGACCTTGTCTGTGAACTTACATACTCACCACATTCTAGGATGCCTTTGTTTTCAGCTAAGAAGAATCCATTTTTCCTACATTTCATTGCTAAAGTTACACACATTTCTGCATATTTTATTTTTAACCTAGCTGGACAGTCTTACAAAATGAACCCTTTGTTCAGTGCCCACATAAAACTGTGAATGGATCTTGGTGGGGGGGAGGGGGGAATCATAGCTTTTTTAGGACTTACTAAAAAGACTGAGGTTTGAACCCAAATTTTGATTACAGAAAGCTTAGATAGTGCTTCCTATGCCTCTGAGACATTCCAGAGGGAACATGAGAAGCTCACCCAAAGAGAATATGAACTATCTATCTGCCCCTGTCATTCATTTAGGAGAGTGGGTGACGCTACCATTCATTTATTGAGTGCTTATTCTGTGTTAGACATCATGGGCCAAGTGCTTTGCATGTATTATTTATTTAATCTTCACAGAAACCTTATGAAGTAGGAAGAAATAATTGTATGTGAAGAGTGTGGCTTAGTGACTTTAAACAACCAGAGCAAGGTCATGTAGCTAAAAAGTAGCAGAGCTAACATTTTATTTTTATATATATAAATTATATTTATTTTAATGTATTTTTAATTGTTATAGTATTACAGATATCTCCCCTTTTCTCCCCTCCCCCCTCTCCTCCAAGCCCCTCCCCCACCCCAGGTCTTCACTATCCTATTGCCGTGTCCATGGGCTATGCATATAAGTATATAAGTTCTTTGGTTTATCTCTTCTCGTCCCCCCAACCCCACATTGAGGTATGTCATTCTGTTCCATGCCTCCCTGCTTTGGGTCTTATTTTATTAGTCAATTCATTTTGTTCATTAGATTCCACAAATAAGTGAGATCATGTGAAGTAAGGATGTGGAGAAAAGGGAACACGAGTTCATTGCTGGTAGGAATGCAGATTGGTGCAGCCACTATGGAAAATAGTACGGAGTTTCCTCAAAAAATTAAAAATGGAACTTCTAGGAATATATCCTTAAAAAAAACAATCAGAAAGAATATATGTACACCTATGTTCATGGCAGCGTTGTTTACAATAGCTAAGATTTGGAAACAGCTCAAGTGCCCATCAGTAGACGAATGAATAAAAAAGTTATGGAATACTATGCAGCTATAAAAAAAATGGATCTCTTATCCTTTGGGAAAGAG